ATATATATCTACCTAATCAAAGCCCTCTTTCAAATAGCTCTATAAGGCTTCATGGGTAGTTCGAATATCTTATAATAACAAAATATCCCTAATTCCTTCTTCCTGTCCCTTGCTTGTACCTTGTATCATTACTGTCATTCATCTTACTTATACATACATACATATATCCTTATATATGCTATTGTTTATGCATTAAATATATACTTATGCATTATATATAACAAGTAAGCATCTAAATCAAATACCTTGTTGCTGTTATTTTAAACAAGCTATTATCAGTTAGATCAATAAAAAATAAGGAAAAGAAAAGTTTTTAGTTACCTTCATTCATTCCTTCTCTAATGCTCTTCCTTTCTTTACCTAGGTCAGAATTTCTGACTGCTGGTGGACCCGCGAGCTGGACCCGCATAATCGAGCTGGCCCTGGATAATCGGAGGCTCCCGATTCCCTCCTCTGTCTTTGGACTGTGATTGTACGCTCTGCTCACCATTCCCGCAGTGGGAGTCATTTGCAAGGATGCAGATTTGAGAGAGCAATGGGTTGAGGAGGCCCGCCGAACCGAACGTGACTGAATCCCGTTAAGGCTTCCAGATAAACTGTTAAGATTGTGGCGGGCGGGTGCAGAGAGCTACTCCTCTTGTGGCGCCTAAGACAATCCTCGTTCTAAAGTCCCCTTGCTTCTTAAACGCCACCTACCAGCCTGGAAGGGCCTGCCTCTGTCCCTGCCCTCCGTGCGCAGGGCCACTTTCCGATTTTACCCGGGAAGCTCCTTAGGTTTCAAACCGACACCTTCTCACTGAAGAACTTCCTATAAATATTTCTTGCAAGGCAAGTCTACTGGCAACACGTTCCCTCTGGTAATGTTTGTTTGAAAAAGTATCTGTTTTTTACTTTTGTAGGAAAACTTCTCAGAATACATAATTCTACGTTGGTGTTTTTCTTTCTTTCGTTCTTTTTTTTCTTTTTCCCTCTCTTCTTGCTTACCTGGCTCCTGAGGAGAAGTCGGATGGAAGTTTAAACTTTGTTCCTAAACAGGCTGAGGTATTTTCCCCCTCCCTTAGGCTTCTTTCAAAATGTTTTCTTTACTTTTGGTTTTCTGCCGTTTTGAATACGGTATACCTGGAAACAATCCAAAAGGCAGTGGAGTGAAAAGGAGAGACTTTATTCCGGTAACAGTTTTCACACCGGGCAGTCGAGGAAACCAAAAGTGTGCTTCACTGAGAGAGACGGGCGTCCGTCCTGTCAAAAAAGTTCCCGCCCAGTTGTTTAACAAGGTCGGGTTTATGTAAATAACATACCAAAGTTCGTTCTGATTGGTTCGAATTGTGCTAACCTGATTGGTCAGTATTGTGCGTTCTGATTGGTCACTATGGAGCAGTTCCCATTGGACAGGGCAGGGCTCTGTCTCTAGGTGGAACGTGGAAGAGATTCGGGTGGCCTGAAGGAGCGAACGAAGCGCGGGAAGCTGAGAGTTCAAAGATTCTTCCCGTTGCACAAAGTACGTGAGAAGCCCCTATCCACAGTTGGCTGCTACACTGTCATAAGTTTTGGGCTCTGGGTTGACCATCTCGGTAGATAAATTCCTTTTGAGGGGTTCGCCTCAAATGAATATGTCTTCTCAGGGCCCACACGCCTAAGTATAGTTTTCCCCCCCGTATTTCTCTCTCCTGTTCTCTGAACTCCTGGGTCTGTGGTGTGATGACATTAATTTGGGGAAGTACTCGATCGTTATTTCTTTGAGTATTTCTTTAGTTCTCTCTCTCTTCTCTTGGTATTCCCATTACTTGCATGCTATACCTTCTGTAGTTGTCCCACAGTTCTTGGATATTCTGTTCCTTTTTTTTTTTCCCCAGCCTTTTTTCCTCTTTGCTTTTCCGTTTTGCAACTTTCTATTGATATATCCTCAAGCTCAGGGATTTTTTCCCCCCTCACCCACGGCCAGTATTCTAAGTACTAATCAGCCCATCAGAGGCATTCTTCACTTCTATTCCAGTGTTATTGATTTCTAGTATTTCTTTTTGATTCTTTCTTAAAATTTCCATCTCTGCTTACATTATCCATCTGTTCTTGCACGGTACCTACTTTTTCCCACTAGAGACTGTTGCATGTTAATCACAGTTGTTTTAAATTCACGATGTGATACTTTCCATACCCTGCTATAAATAATAAGTGTGGTTCTGTTTCTTCAAACTGTGTTTTTCTGCCTTTTTATATGCCTTCTAATTTTGTTGTTGTTGTTGGAAGCTGGACATGATGTGCCGAGTACAAGAAACTGCAGCAGAGGGGCTTTTAGAGGTGCGGTGGGGAGGTGTGGAGGGGAGAGACCTGTTCTGTTGTCCTGTGGGCCTCAGTCTTAGAGCCTGTGATCCTTGGCTCTGAACTTCACCAGTGCTTTTCAGTCGCCTCCGGCTGATGTGGGGCAGGATGGCTGGAGGGTTTGGTTTTGTTTTTCTTCCCCACTTCCCAATGTTGGTTAGGCTCCAACAAAATCCTGATAAATTATTTTTGCGCTGACACAATAGTTTCTCTTGAGGGAAGGCTTTATTAGAAAGAGTAGAATGCTCTGCTCTGGTGTATTCTGGTGTATTTCAAAATGGCCTTCTCCACATTTACTTCTCCACTTTCGGGAAGCTTGAGGGGGTTTTTCTTGTCATCTTCCCAGTGAGAACTTGGCTGAGCCCCTGAAGGAGAAACTAAAAAAGGATGGGCGTCCCCTGATGACTAGGTCCTCCTGGAATTTTTATCTCACGGACTTGTCTACACTGAGCCTCCAGCAATTTATCAATCACACTTCAGGTTTTCCTGGTCTGGCACTGGTTCCTGTGGAGGTTTCCACTCTTGGGATTCTGCTCTGGTAAGTGGCGATTCTCTGTAGTTGCCTGTCTGTCTCTTCAATTTTGGGAGTGGTGGTCTGCCCTGTGACCTCACTTTTCATATGGATCAAAGAACCTGTTGATTTTGCAGGGTTTTTTTTTTTCTTCAACTGGAATTCTCAAATACTGCAGGTGGGACTGTAAGTTTTGGCAGTGTCTACTAAAAACAAAACATGCACTTACCCTATGACCTAGCAATTCTACTCCTAGTTACATACTCAAAAGAAAAGAATGGATATATCCATCAAATATTCACAGTGGCTTTATTTATAATAGCTAAAAACTGGAAGCAACTAGAATGCCTACCTCCAGGAAAGAGATAAATTGTGTTGTATTCAGGCAATGGAGTACTATGCAGCAATGAAAAAGAATTAACAACTGATTTGTGTAACAATATGAATGAATCTCATAGATATTATTTTGAGTAAAAGAAGCCATTTATATATAGTTCAAGAACAAGCAATGCTAACTGGTGCTGAAAGACGTGAGTGTAGTGGTTACATCTGGGGGGTAAGTGCTTATTCCTGGGAAGGAGCATAAAGAAACCTCTGGATGACAGAACTGTTCTACGTGTTAATCTAGATGGTGGCTGTACTAAGGTATACCAACCAAGCAGACAATAAATGCTGTGTATCCTGTGTACACTTGGCAAATAAGAGAGACATGCTTGCATCCTAGTGAGAAAAAGAAACAGTAGGCAACTAACTTCAGTGACATGTGTTGGGTGGGTTGGTAGAGGAAATTGTGGTGGTGGCTCTAGGTACATGGAACAGAGAGAACTCAGTTATGGTGGGAATGAGGGGAGACTTCCTGGAGAAAGAGATGGCACAACTGAGAACCATTAGGCACGAGGAAGGGAGAAGATTGGGAGATAGAGAACATTCTAGGAATTGGGAACAATATATGCAAAGGCCTGAAGGTGAGAGAGTGAGGCATGTGCAAGTAATTAAAAGTTTGGACTACAGGGAAAAAGATGGTGATGGAGAGGTGAGGCTGTGGGATTCAGCAGGGGCCTGCTCTTTGGTGACTAAATGAGATGTGTTCAAAGAGTTCTGGCTTTTCTGAGGGCATTGGGAAGGGGATGCATAGTTTTAGGTAGGAAAGAGTCAAGATCACATGGACATTTTAAGAAATGAGTCTGGAGGCTGAGTCGCTGAAGCCCTTGAGGTGAGTCAGGTGAGGGATGATGGAGCCCAAAGTAGGGGAGGGGCAGAGGAGATGGCGAGCAGTGTAGAGTGAGGAGGCAGAAATGAAGACTTTGTGATAGCAGGTTGCACTGGATGAGGAAGACAGAAGAGTCTTTCAGAACCAGGCTCCATTTCAGCACTATTGAAAAGGAATGTAGCTCCATACCCTCGGGAAGCCGGCAACCTGAGGCATGTTTGATTTCACCTCTGAATTTACAGTGTCATTTCATTGCTTCCCATTGTCTTTCTAGAAGGAACCTTGTTCCTAAAGAGATTCTTTCCGTTGAATTTGCTGGCTTCTATTGTGGGTGGTTTGTGGGTGGAAGCTGGGGCAGGGGATTGGAAGACAGGAGACAGGTAGAGGGCTTTCCTTAATGCGTGAAGCCCTCCGTATCTTTCTCCTTCCCCCCACTCCCCAAGTAGATTATTTTCAGTTCCCTTATGGAGTAACAAGGACAGAGTGATTTAATTACTTTCATGATTGAAGATATTTTGGGGATGGGGATCAGAGGATTCTCCTTCCGAGGAATGGCAGTTCTGTCTTCTGACATGTCCTAGTTTGGAGTTGGTGAATGGGGATCCCCTTGCCCCAGGCGAGGTGACTGCTGTAATCAGCTGTGTACCGAAATTCTGGAAACTCGGAATAAGAAGTTTAACATCCGCTGGTCTGCAAATCCAAAGCTTGGGACCCTCGTGGGTCCCATCCCCCCCGAGCTATCCCAATCATGCCACCTGGAATCAGAAGGGGATTTAGAAGCAAAGAACCGGCTGCAGCGAATTCCTTTAATACCCAGGCCAGGAAGAAAGCAGGTTAGGATTTGATCCCGCAGAACAGGAGCCTCAGGAGCCTCCCGCCCTCGGCGCTCGGCGTGGCGGGGGCGCGCTGCCGCGCTGCGCCAGGCGGGGCGGGCAGCGGGCAGCAGCGCTGTGGGCGCCGTGTTGCAGGTGTGTGACACTCGCTGTCTCCTGCCTCTGCCAGGATCGCCAGGGAAGACGCTGCTCCGCCCGCACTTGGTGGCGGCCGCCCGAGGATTCTTGTCCGCGGATTTCCCACCCAGGTAGGGGATGGTGCTGCTCGCTTCCGTGTGTGCAGACCCGCGGGGTTGCGGACTGGGGGCTCCCGGACTTGCCTGCCGGGGCTGAAACATACACACTGGCATCTCTGAATGTTGGTAGTAATCGGCATGAAAGACGGGAGAATCTTGGGAAAGCAAGGACTTGCCCTGCGGCCCCGGGGCTGCGCGCTTCTGTGAAGGTGGCGTCCCCAAGGGCTATTTTAAACATCCTGTTTGAACTGTTAGCTCCCTATATAGTTTTGCAACTTAGTCTTCTGATATTTATGACTCCGCTTCCGTAAGCCACCACTTTGTTTCAGTTCTAATCCTATGCGATGAAATTTGTTGTTGCTGTTGGTGTGTTCTTAAAGAACAGATGAAAAACATTCTAACACCTGGGGGCTCTGGGTTGGGGTTGTGAATGTGCATTGCTGTATGTGGAGGGCGCCCTCCACGGGAATGGGAGCGGCTTCTTACGGACACAGAGGATTTGGGTGTAGATGGATTTCAGAGCAAGGAAAAGAACATGATTTGTTCTGCAGGGATGGGTGAGCAAATGCATTTAGCCAGGGAGGAGCGAAGCGCTGCTGTTTCTTCCGCAGACGGGTATTAGATATCTCTGCTGTCCAGGGTTGAGCGGGACCGCTGAAACACGATCCTTTAGCCAGAAATCACAGATGCAAACTAGCTCTGTTTACAGGTAACTTAAGGGCGTCTTGGGCTCTGATGGGGTGGGATAGAGCACTCGGGAATGCCTGCTGGGTTTTTGCTTTTTAAAAAGCCTGTTGGGGAGGTAGATGTGGGTGGCTTTCACGTTGAGGGAGTGGCAGGTGAGGGATGAGAGGTGTGTGTACATGAGGGAGAATTGGGCATTGTCTCTAGTTCAGCGGTTCTGGTCTGCAATGGTGTCTTCTATGTTTCTGTGCCCTGCCCTTTTTGGGAGAGGTGACTTGTCCCGTTTGCTCCAGCTGATGCAGCAGATACAGTACAGGCTCTTTTTGTATCTTTCTTGAGTCAGCAAATACTTACCGGGCACCTGGTATATGTTAGAGGCCGATTAATCCTTGGCGGTGCAGAGGTGAAAAGAACACAGTCCAGCCTCCCAGCAGCTCACACCAGGTGGGGGAAAAACACCTGTAATAATGAAGTGAGATAAGTTTAGTAATGCAGGTGTGAAAAGAGAGTGGTGCGAGCAGGGAGGAAGCAGGAATTGTGGCAGTGATTATTTTAAAAATGAAGCCCTCATCAAGGAGGCGTGACATGGATTTCAATAGGGACTGGGTCCCTCTCTTGGTCTCGTGTCTGTGAGTGACCGGTATCATCCTCCCACTCCATCCACCTCACTGCCACTGGATGGGCAGAGCTTTACAGGTCACAACAGGGCTGTCATTTGTAGTGTGTGACCAGACCCCAGTAGGCACAGGCACAGGGTGACACCAAAGGAGGAGCAGAGATTCTGGAAAATTCTGAGGAAGCCTCAGAGCAGACAAATTTCTGTGTTTTCCCCCTTGGGTCCCTGAGCTGTCTGTCCCAGCCCAGTTCAGAAGGAAAGCTCTGACTTGATCTCTCAATGGGTGGAATAACAGAAAACTAAAGCTGTTAGTACTTATCTTTTCTGGGAGATGAAAATCCAGTGTCATGCATATTTGCCATAGAGGCGTATCACATGCATTTTGTCACCTAAACCATCATTAAGGTATGTGGAAAGTAGGCTGGCCCACTGCAAGGAGCGTGGGCTTTGATAATTAGACAGGCCTAGGTGAGTGTCTCAGGCAAGTTACTTAGTCTCTCTTTGAGCTTTGGTTTCCTGATTTGTAAAGTGGAGATAGCAATAAAGGTGTTATGATAATGACATAGAGGTTTCTTAAAAATATTTGTTCATTGTGAAATAATTGTCATATATAAATTTCTTGGCATAAGTAGGTGCTTAAGAAATGGCAGTTCATTCATTGACTGCCTACTCTGTGTTAGGTACTGCCCTATGTGAGGGGAATACACAATTGAACTAAATAAAGCCCCTAAAAAAGCTTAACTTGTATGTATGTGTGTGTAATCTAATGGACAAATAAATAAGTAACTGGATAGTGTATCAGCTGATGATGCATTATAATGGAGAGAAATAAAGTAAGATAAAAGGAATTGGAGTGCTGCCAGAGGGTAGGGCAAGGATTGTTATGTTTTTATGCAGCTTGGGAAGGGAAGGCTTTGCTGATAAGTGACATTTGACCATACCCCTGGGGAAGTGAGGGAGAGAGCCAGGCAGATGTCTGAGGAAGAGCATTCTAGACATTTTGAACCTCCATGGCATGTTTGTTTCCTTTCCCCAACAATGAAAGAAAGGGTCACTTTATTGAATAGTGCTGCAGATATTTTCCGTGCTAGTTACTACTCCTTTTTCTTTGAGAACAATAACATTTTCTATGGTTCTGGAAAGGGGTTGGAATGAAATGGAGCGGTACAGACCTTTGGTCTACCACAGAACACATTTATATAAATAACATAATGAATTTATTTGAGGCATCTATGTTGTAGGCTTGATATGTAGGTCAGTTCACTGCTCTGGCCCTTTGAGACTTTGTTCCTTCAAAGAGAATGGTTTTGGGATTTGAGAGCTCCATCCATCAGGATCGATCCTGTGTCCTTGGTGCAGCGGGGCTACTGCAGTGATTCATGGACAGAGGCAGGGCCAGATGCTTGAGAACTTTGTCAAAGTTTCTGTGAAATAGGATATGGTGGAGCTGGGTCACGGTCAGGGTGGCTGGCTGGGTGTCCCCTAAGTCACCTGAGAAGGTGATATTTACTTCTGTGAATTTCCCCCATTCAAGGTCTGGTGTTTAGTCTTGTTGCCTCAGAAACCTGATCTGTCTCTCTGGGTCACATGGTAGTGACTTTGCTCACCTGCGTGCTAGTCTATTGATTTGCAATGGCTGAGACATTGTGTGGCATGGCTGGTGTGTCTTCCTCCTGCAGACTTCCCTTCCTGAGAACTAAACCAAGGAGAAGATTTCCTTGATGACCATGTACTCTGAGCAAAGAGCTCAGATGCCTACTCTAAGGACTGATCACACGCATTAGGGGTGATCTTGCTAATGAGACCACAAAGCAAACTGCTCCAAAATTTAGTGGCTTAAGGCAACAGCCATTTTGTATTTTCTCACATGTCTGGGTTGTGCTTGGTTGATCTCACCTGGGTTTGCTCATGTGATTTTTGGTCTGTTGACGGTGTGGCCAAGGGTTGGCTGTTTTGGAACCTCAGGTGGGATGACTTGACTCTGCTCCATGTGGTCTCTCATCCTCCAAAAGGAGAGCCCAGCATGTTCACATGGGAGGTCAGGAGTCTGAGAGAGAGTGGGCACTTGCATGGCCTCTTGAGGTTTAAACTTATAACTGGCACACTATTACTTTATCCTTGTCTATTGACAAAAGTAAGTCACAAGGCCAGCCCAGAGTGAAGGAGTAGGGAGTAGACCCCACTTCTTGATGAGAGGAGGTACATAGTCACATTACAAAGAACATGGATCCAGGGAGGGGAACAATTGGGGATATTTTTGCAATCTCTTTACCATAGGGACCTTTAATATTTAAAGTACCCTTGGCTAAGGCACCTTTTTTTCCTGGGCTCTGCTTGAATGGGCAATACTTGCAACTTTTTCTTTTCTGTGTTTCCATGGCTGACCTACTTTAGACATATGTATGTTTAGATACTCATTCATTCACCAAATATTTATTGAGTGTTCGCAATGCTGTAGGCAGGTAAAAATAACATGATCCATCCTTGTGAAGCCATTCTTGTTAGGTGGCGGAGACAAATAATATGTAAGTAAACAAGTAAATGTGTAATGTCAGGTGATGAAAGATCATCAAGGAGAGAAAGGAAGGTAGGGAATGCCTGACTGAGAGGGGGTAGGGAAATCAGATCAAGTTGGAGATGGGCATTTTATATAATGCGTATCTGGGGGAAAGGTACCTACAGGCAAAGGAAGTAAGTGCAAAGGCCCTGAGGCAACAGAGTACTAGCATGTTCTGAATACAGCAAGAAGACTCATGTAGAAGCAGCTAAGAGAGGGGAAGCATGACAGAAGATGAGATCAGACAAATAGCAGAGAGCTAGGTAATACAGAGGCTGGTAGGGCCTTGTATGGATTTTGGCTTTTATTCTTAGTGAGACTGGAAGCCATGGGAGAATTTTGAGCACAGGTTGTCATTACCTGATTTATTTTTTGTAGTGATCACTTGAATTTTAGAACTTAGAATAGATTCTAGGGGGTCAAGGGTGAATATAGGGAGATCCATCATGAAACTACTGCAGTGATCCAGGTGAGAGATGATGGCAGTTGGGACCAGGGTCAATAGTGGCTGAGATGGTGAGAAATGGCCAAATTCTGGGTATATTTGATGATAGAGGAGATAGGACTTGCTGATGGGTTAGATTTAGGGTATAAGAGAAAGAAAGGAGTCAAGGATGACTCTACATATTTTGACCTGAGCAACTGAAAGGAATTGCCCTTTACTGAGATGGAGAAGGAAAAGTTATGGGTTTTTGGTAGGACACCCAATGGGACATGTTAAGTAGATAATTGTATATGTGAGTTCAGATTTGAAGAAAGAGGTCCAATAAGGAGATATACATTTGGGTATCACTGGAATGTTATTTACTTGTTGCTTCAATGAGCCCAGTCACTGCTATATCAACATTGCCCAGGATATTGTCTGGCGTAGAGTATGAGCTCAGTGACTTTTTATTGACTGAATGAATGGAACCATTTAATCACCGGAGGTGACCACAAATCTTTGCTTCGGTGGATCTTACAGTGTAACTCCCTGAAGGTATTCCCTTTCTTTCCCAGGTCTCTTGGGAACCTTATTGTGGATCTTATGGTCTAAAACAGACTTTAAATGTGAAGGCTCCAATCACTTATATGTTACAGAGAACAGTGTGTGGTGACAAGAAAGAGAAATGAGTGGAAGCCAAAAAAAAAAAAAAAAAAAGAAAAAGCTCATAC